TATCAAAATTGATTGATATACTATATCAAAAATCAGACTAATTCATTAGAATTATAAAATTTGCAAAATTCATCTAATTTACCTAATTTATTTGATTGATTTAATTTATTAAATTCTTTACATATTTATTATTTTTATTATTTTTAGTATTTTTATTATATTTTTATTAAATTTTATTTTATAAGTTTTCATTATTATATAGCTTAGTAAATAATTAATTGTTATAGAATAATTTTGTATAAAATGTATTAGTTTTTATTTAAGTTGTACATTAACTTTTTTATAAGTATGAGTTTCAATATTATTAATAAAGAAATCAATTTAAAACTATATAAATTACTTTTTATTTCAATATTATCTCTTATTTAAGATTTATTATAATATTTTATAATAATTTATTTTTGAGTTATCGTTATGAATAAAATTAAATAATCTTAAATTCTAAGACATAATAAATTGCTTAATTAGTTTAAATATAATAGATACCTATAAGCAGAGTTGGGAAATTTGTATGTACTAGGCAAATTTTGACCTTGTACTTGTACTGTACTGTACTAAATTTTATATTAATTATTATGTGTACTAATTGTACTAAACTGTACTAAACTGTACTAACTGTACTAATTTTCCAACCCTGTCTATAAGACTTAGAGAAAATCCTAAGATTGTAAATTCTAATAAGTAAAATTAATTGCTATAAACCTTAGCATTACCAGAAAATTAATTCAAAATTTGTTCATAAATACTTTCTCTAAAATTGACTTTAAATCTGATATAATATATTTAAAGTTATTTTAACTTCTCATGATTTAATTTTGACTTATTTAAAGCTTTCTTAAAGCTGAATCTGATTATCTTAAATTGATATTTTTGTAAATTTTTAGATCATATAGGACCTTTGCAATAGAAAAGGGAGAAACGGCTAGAAAAAATAAAAATTAAATTAATGCTAAATCTGAATATATTTTGTCTTAAAAATCATATTTGACATATAAAAGTAAAATTGATTTTTTCTGGCAGTTTCCCCCCTTTCTATTGTAAAGGTCCCGTATAATCACTTTATTTCAAGGATTTACTACCTAAATAATTAATTTTGAATATTCATAAGTAACTCTATTTTCTTATATATTAATATACAATTTTTCACTTCTTTTAGATTTCAAAATGATAAAATTAGTATTTAGTATTATTACTTTACAGATAGTTTCTTTTACTTTCATTCTAATATTTACACTTACTTGAGATTCTTTTATGATAAGTTTTAAATAATTATTTTTTGTATTTCACAAATATTTCTGAATCTAGTAATTAGATTTTAACAAATTTAAGCTTATTTAAAGTTTAAAATCTATTACATCTGCTTATCAAAATTTGATAGGAATTAGTATTAAGATATTCATATTCAAATTATATCATAGCAAATTAGAACTTTGTATTTTTAATTAAATTATTAAATTTTCTAAAAAGAGATGACAAGTATTGCTAATATAAAATATTTTATCTATTCTAAATAAGTGTATTTAATAATTTAATACTTAAAGAAATATAGTATGGTATATATTAACATTAATACAAAAATTTTATAATTATTTAAGATTTTCAAATATATATTTACAAATTTTTTTGTAAAATATTATAATAAATTTGCTATATACTTTATAATTTCTTATAATTAATTACTATTTTATAATTATTTATTATTTTATAATTAATTATTTAATTATCATATCTTTTAAAAAAATAGTAATTAATTACTGTAATTATAAATTATATTTTACATAATTATATATAATTATTATAATATATTTAAGTATAATTAATCACAGATTTTTCTTTTTTTCTCATGATACAATTAAATAAATAAATATAGTAGTATTAGAAAATAGCTAAAAAAAAAAAGTTATTAATACTGATAACTCAAATTTAAAGTATAAAAATAGTATAAAAAATAAAATTGAATGAATTGATAGTCAAATAAAGATAAAATAAAACAAATTTTTTAACTTTAATAAAAATATGAAAATATTAAAATGTTTAAGTATTTATTAATAACTTTGAAAATTCTTATATAATTAGATATAGATGAAAAATTTAAGCATTAAAAAATCAAAAAATTGGACAATTACTTTTTTAATAATTATCTAAAAACAGATTCAGAAAAATTCAGATAATGAAATATAAAATTTTGAGCAAAATGAAAAGAAAATTAGTAAAAAAGACAACAATAAATCTATAAATATATATTTTTTATTAATAAGATTAAAAAAAATTAAAAATTAAAAATCAATAGTTAATTTTAATATATAAATATAGTTTAAAATTGTTCAATATTATTTTCAACTTCTTAATAAAGGATATACAAAATTAAAGTAAGTCAGATTATTACTAAATTTTTTAATTATGAATTATGATTTATATAATATATTAAAAGTTAGGTCATAGCATTTAAAATTATAGTAACATTCTAAAAGATAATTGTGAATAATACCTTAAAGAAAACAGTATTCTTAATGATAAAAACATTTAGCTAAAAGTAGCTTTATATTTGTGATAACATAAAATTTGATGTAGATAATAATAGTTTTATAATTTTATTAGTAAAGAAATTTTGCTTTCCATTAATATAGAAAATAAAATAATAATTAAATATTATTTAATTTATTTATATTAATTTTATTAATTATATTCTTTAATTAATTCATTTATTTGTTAACAAAAAAATAGCAAATACATTAATTAAAAAAATGTGATTTTATAAATAATCATTATATAAAAAATATATATGATAGTTATAAAAAAAGATATTATTATTTATTAAAATATTCTTAAAATTATAATGAGATATTTTTATTTATTTTTATTAATAAAAATATTTATTTTTTAACTTTTAATTAATGTAATTTTAATTATAGTTATTATTAATATTAAAATTTATTAATATAGGATGTAAAATTTAAATTAATTCTGAATTAATAATAATAAACATTTACATATTCTTATTATCTATAATAAAATAATTTTTTAAGCAAATGATAAATAAAAATCTGATTGAAGACTTAAAAATGAATAATTATTACATAAAAAAGATAAAGACAATCTATTCATATTAATAATAGTTTAATAAAAACTATTAGAAGATTAAAATTAAATAAATATAAAGCATGTGTTATAATTAATTCTAAAAAAAATTTTGAAAGATAGTGAAATATTTTGAAAAACACATTTTAGAATGATTGTTATATTTGCATTTGACAATTTTTAATTATATAAATTAATTGATAATAATCTTAATGTAACAAATATAAATTTTAAATCTGATAAAAAATAACCAATTATGCATAAAACTATTTTTAATGAATAAGTTTAAAGTATAATATTTTTGTTAATTTCAGAAAATAAATAAAATTATTTTATAAAAAATATGATTTATAAAGAGATTAAAAAGATTTTATAATAATAAAAAAATGTTATTAGAAAATCTAAGATATTATACATTTTTTTATTATTTGACATTAATTGATAGAGTTTAAGCTAGTAAAAATTAATCATATTAAAGATAAAAAAATATTAATTTTTAATATTATATCTGCTTGACTATATCTAATAACTCATAATATATAGTTATCTAGAATTGTTTTGAATTATGTAATTTTTTCTTATATTTCATTATTTAGTCTATTATTTGATTATCTCTATTACTAATTATTTTCTAGATATTTGCAATATTAAGTTGCTCTTTATTTAAATGCTGACTAATATAATTCTTTTTCTTCTTTTAAGTTCTTCATCTTATTATGAAATTTAAAGCAAAATACCTTTATCTAGAATTTTTTGTGAATTTTCTGTCTTTATATTACAATAAATACTTAAAATATTCTGTTAATTTAATATTTTAAAATCATTTAAAATGAAAATCACTATATTTGTATAGATAAAGAGTTAGAAATACTTTTATTATATATTTAGATATATAAATTCATTAATAAGAATGCTTTTGATTTTTATTAAAATAAAAAAGAATCATTATTTTGTACATAATTAAACATATTGTTAATAATATTATTTTTAAGGAAAAAGATAATATGAATAAATGTGAGAATATTTATTTTATTTTCTTTATTATTTGATATTCCATCTGTTGTTTTATTATGAATTTACTTAAACTGATTACTGATAGATTTATTTATAGGTAATAATTGAATAATTTTATTGTTAATAATTTTATTTTATAGTATATATTATTTTCTTTTAATTATAATAATGCTCTAGTAATTTTTTTATGATGTCTAATAAAACTTGCTAGATTATTTGCTGACTGCTATTATATTAAAAATATTTCTAATAATAATAGATATTATAGAAGTTAATTTGTGAATTTTTATATTTTAAGAGAAGTTTATCTATTATTATTTTGATCTTTTCAATATTAATTTACTGATATTATTATAAAACTTGAGTGATTAACATCTTTTTGATTTTATAAGACCTTTTAATTCTTCTAATACATTTTCAAGATTTATATTATTTTTGAATGAAAATTTTTTTGATGATGTCTTTTCTATATAACAATGTTTAAATATTATTATTAATAAAATTTGCTTTTATATACAAGACAAAATTTATACTTAATTTAGCTATTTTGTCATAAAATTTCTGCAATAAATTTTAGTCTTTTTATTAATAATTATAATAGAGAGTTTATAGATGAATCATTATTTCTTTTTGATTTTATATTGCTAATTTATTATGGATTTATTAGTTTTAAAGATATGCTTTATATTTATGTTTATTTTTATCTAAATGTAATCTTATGTTCATTAATAGTATTCTTCAAATTTTTTTATTTTTTATTTATACATACTTGTATATCAGTCTTCACAATTTTTTGATAATTCATCTGCTCTCATTTTTCATTTTTTTTTATAATCATGAGCAAGATATTCTTTACATTATTTATTTATTTTATTATTTTTTTATGCTTTTGAAGAGTCACAGAATTAATGGGTTTATTACTCATTTTATAATGAACTTAGTTTGAAGAATTATATTATAAGTAATCATATTTGATCTTATTAATTATATGATATTATAAATTAAATTAAATTCTAATCTTTGTTATTAGGTTAGAAAAATAAATCAATTTTACATTTAGATACAATTGAAACTTTAATTATATAATGTTATTTTTATAAGGTTAATAGTGATAGATAACAAGTTTATAAGCTAATAAATAAATATTAGAATACAATTTATTGTACATATACTACCCTAGTAAAAGTATCCAATTAATCAATTTAAAATTATATTTTATTATAAATATTATAAATTTTAATATTTAGTTGGCTATCCTTGACTTTCAATACATACTTCTATCAGATATGGTATGCTTTCAATTAAATTAATATAAGTTTCAGATGGAATTTTTCCATTCTTTTTGTAATACTTTTTCAAGTTCATATAAATCTTTTGGATACCTCATCATGTTCAAAGTCTTTATTTTAGTTCATGTCACAAATGTTCAATAGAATTAAGGTCTGGAGATTGAGAAAGCCAATCTGGAAGAATCTTAATATTTTTCTGTATAATCCAATTTTTGACATCCTTTGTAGTATGAACATATGCTTTGATGATACAGTAAGATCATCACTACGTAAAATTGATTATTATTTTTATTTTTATTGTAAAATTTGGTGTATATGTCATAACAAAAAACAAATAAATAAATTTTAATCATCAGAATCAGAGCATTTATTTTAAAAAAAATTCCTATTAATTAATATATCCGATCTCAAAAAAAATCAAAAAGAACTTGACCAGATATTTTTGATAGGATAGTGTATGTATTTTTTTATTAATTAAGATGCAATGATAATTATTTAATAAATTCTATTACATTTTTTCTAGTCTAATTTATTGCTTAATTTTGTTACGTTTTCTATAATTTATAAATTAAGAATTTGCTTTACATTTTTTAATAGGTCTGATTTTATTATTCTACTAAAAATTTTATATTATTTTTTGTTAGATTTTCTAATAACGGTTTACCGTTCCCTAGTTAGAGATGAAGACGGTTTTATCAGTTCTAAATCAGTTTCAAATCGGTTATATTTTGACTCTCTTAAGTAAATTAAAACTATTAAAACTTTGAACGTTAAGTTTAAATTTATATTAATTGAGCATTATGTGATGATCAATTTACATTTTTTTTCTATTATCTTTAATATCTTTAATTTGATGACAATCTGATTTTTGAGTCGACTCTTGGAATTGGTCTGGAGTCAGTTCTGATTCGATTTTTAAAATTAGTTAAAAGTGGTTTGTAAATCAGAAAAACCCAGAATATGCTGAATTTATAATCGATTTCAATTCCAGAATTGACTCAGAGTTGCTCTTTTTGAATCGCTATTCCTAGTATAATATTTGATGACTTGTTGTGTCTCCAACTATACAACTTTTGTCTCATTATACTTTTTATCAAAATGTTTATAAGTACTACTTCTGCCAATTTCTCTGTCGAAGACAAAAAGATTTGATATGAACCAACTTGTTACTTATTTACAGTCTTATTTGCAAGGAAAGAACTTAACACTAAATGACTCTGAAATTCTAAAATTTCATGATGAAGAGATTAATAACTATGTCTTTCTTAGTATAACTGATAATTTGTTTACAAATTTTGACCTTTCATTTGGAAAAAGGTTGACGCTTATTATTTTAATTAATGATTTGCATAGTTAAAGTAAGTTCTATCATAACAAACAGATGTCTTTCATAGCAATATTTTTGTAGTATTTACTTAACCCAAATTTTTTTTTTTTAGAGGGTATTAGTTTAAAACAAGCACTATTGTATATTCTGCCTATTAGTTATTCTGACAAAGCTGTCGATAAACAACCACTACAATTTCATGTGATATAGATCCAACGGAACTTGGTCATTGAAATGACCTTTTTGATGAAGTGAACCAGTTTAATTTCAACGATCAACTGAAATTTGAAAGACCGCAATTTATCCAGTTTGCACCTTTGGTAAATGAAGAGGCCGTTCGTTCTGTTTTTGATGCAAATATTTGTCAAGTATTAAATAAATTGTTGATGCCAGATTATATAATTGAAAGAAGGTCAGATTATATCATTGGTGATCTGAATTTCGCTGTCAACTTTGCTTCAGACCAATTGGTCATGCCAATTGAAGTCAAATGAGAGCACGTTTTAGATGTGATTTTAAGAATGGTTGACGTATTTCATGATTCAGAACATGTTTGTAAGGAAACAGATAAAGTTATTCGACAGATCTTTACCTACATGTCAGAAACTTGTTGTCAGTATGGAATAATCTCAACTTATGAAAACTACTGGTTCTTGTACTGACCAAGAGATTCCCCTTCAAAACTTTTTATTTCAGACCTCTTACATTGGAGTCAACATCACCAACAATTCTTAAGGTGTACACATATGTGATTATGCAGTTATGCAGGGACTATTATTACCACCATCTGAATGTAATTGATGATGGGATGGTCACTCAGTGCTCTACTCGATCAATGTCTAAACAAAATAAACAAAATGTATCAAATTTTTTTCTACTGAAGGATCATCATCTAACGCAGCGAGTTCTAACAAAAAGAGGTCAATGAGATCTAGTATAGCAAAAAATCAGAAAAGCCAGGATAGTGCTCAGAATTTTAGCTTCATGAACTTCACGATAAAGGGTCTATTAGGCCGAGGTCGAAGTGGAAAGATATTCCTATGCGAATATCGCAGAAATACAATTGCCTTAAAGGGTATAGATCTATCAAAAGCCCCATCATATGTTTTGAAAGAAATGCTGAACGAAGTTGAAATCTATAAAATTCTTGCAGATATCCAAGGGAAATACATTCCAAAATTAGTGTGTCATGGTTACTATAGGGGTGGAATGTACTATGTTATTGGTACAACTCTTTTCGGTACCTCTTTAAATAAGTTTAAGCTAATAACGGAATGACAAAGAAAAAATGCTCTTATTGCACTAGAATCAATTCATAATCATGGTGTGCTTCATAATGATATTCGAAAGGAAAATATTTTGTTTGATAACAATACTGATGGTGCATACTTGATTGACTTTGGGATGGCATGTTATTATCCTTATACTAAAGAAAAGTTATTTGATGAAGAGAGACTTAACTTGTCTCGTTTATTAGATCATTAAGAACTTTTATTAGAGTTTGTATTTAGCATTCTGATGCAGTCACGAGAACCATGATGTATTGCAAAATTTTATAACCATTAATGATAAACTTGTTTTATCGCAATAATATAAAATAATAAAATAATTGAAGAAAAAACACCTCATTGATCGTTACACATGCGGAAATTAACATTTTTTTTTTATTTGGATTTGCTACAATGCAACGAGCTGATAATATTATGTTGGGTAGCTTATCATAATAAAATACTGTGATCAAGATATAGCCTATTTCCTTAGGAATTTAACTGACCAATAATGAGCAACTTTTCTTCCGAAAAAATATTTCAAAAATTTATAACTATTCCGTTCTTAATAAGATCTATCGAACATACCGAAAAACATTTACTAAAATGGATCCATCACAAGTTCCAAACCTTTACAAACAACAACGGGGTCCTCCAAAGGTACATTTTTCTCGATTTGAAATATATATATATATTTCTTCAGACCAATTTATAAACTTTTTTAATTCCTCGTTTAGATCAAAAACAAAAACCCCGCACCGATTCAAATTACAGCCGAGCAAATTCTTCGTGAAGCTAAAGAGAGGCAAGAATCTGCAAAGAAAGCGCCTCGTCAAAAGATTTCTGACTTGGAAGAATTGTCAGAATATCGTTTACGTAAAAGAAAAGAATTTGAAGATGCAATAAGAAGGAATAGATTAAATATCGGAAGCTGGTTAAAGTATGCGACATGGGAAGAAAGTCAAAAAGAATTGAATAGGTATTTACTTTATTCTGAACGATTTTATATTATTTTATTCATCTAAGGTACATGTTTATTCTAAATGCGATTTAATGTTTTCTATATAGAGCGCGTTCAATTTATGAAAGGGCCTTAGACGTAGATTCACGCAATGTTACTCTTTTTATTAAATATACCGAAATGGAAATGAAAAATCGCAATATCAATCATGCTAGAAATTTATTTGATCGTGCGGTTACTTTATTACCACGAGTTGATCAATTTTGGTGAGGTTCTTTTAAGATTTAAATATAAATACTATTTATTAATTCGGTTTATAATTGACATGTATCAATTAATTTATTAAAGGTACAAATATACTTATATGGAAGAAATGTTGGGAAATGTCGCAGGAGCACGTCAAATATTTGAACGTTGGATGCAATGGGAACCGGATGAATCCGCATGGAACGCTTATATAAAAATGGAAAAGAGATATGGAGAAATTGATAGAGCAAGAGCTATTTATGAGAGATTTGTTAATGTACATCCGGAACCAAAAAATTGGCTTAAATGGGTCAAGTTTGAAGAGGAGCAGAATGATTTGGGTAAACTTTTTTCGGGAATTTAATAAAGAGTTCAAATTCTAAATTCTCACAATATTCGTCGGTTATTATTTTGTACATAGAAAAATGTCGAGAGATCCTTAGTCATGCCATTGAAGTGTTAGGTGAAGATCATATGGATCAAAAGATATTTATTGCATTTGCAAAATTTGAGACAAAGTTAAAAGAGGTATATAGCCACATTAAATTTTTTTTTCGTCGTTAATTCTAATAACATTCTATATATACCATAATTTGTAGTTTGAAAGAGCACGTGTTATTTATAAATATGCTTTGGATAAGCTATCTAGATCTAAATCAGAATCATTATATAACGCGTACACTCAATTCGAAAAACAATACGGTGACAAAGATGGAATAGAAGACGTGGTAGTTGGAAAGCGGAGGATACAATATGAAGAGGTATTAATCAAATTTTTTAACGTGTAAGATTATTGATTAATTAATTCATGTTTATTTTTCTAAGGAATTAAAAGCAAATCCAAAGAATTATGATATATGGTTTGATTACGCGAGATTGGAAGAAAATGCAGGCGATGCCGACAAAGTTCGTGAAATTTACGAACGCGCTATTGCACAAGTGCCTCCGACACAAGAGAAAAGATTCTGGAGACGATATATATATTTATGGATAAATTACGCGTTGTATGAAGAACTTGAAACTAAAGTAAATTATGAATAAGGCATACTAGAACTTAGAATCTCCTATTTATCCAAAATTTTTTTTAAATAGGATTACGATCGAACACGTCAAATTTATCAAGAATGTCTGAAGATAATACCTCACAAAAAATTCACATTCGCAAAGATATGGTTATTGTATGCACAATTTGAAACAAGACGATTGGACTTACGGACAGCAAGAAAGTTTTTGGGAATGGCGATAGGTTATTAATGATATATCTTTATATTCTTTATGTATGATGAATGTATCATTATTATCGTTTATATACCTAATATTTATTGTAAACAGGAATGTGTCCAAAGGATAGGCTCTTTAAGGGATATATTGAACTTGAATTACAGGTAAAAATTATATATATTTATATAATAAATTATTAAATTTTCCTAATCACGGATTTTATTTATTTATTTTTTTTAAAAAAAAAAACTACTAATTATAAATTAAAGCTACGAGAATTTGACCGTTGTCGTACTCTATATACTAAATATTTGGAACATAATCCATCCAATTGTTACGCATGGATTAAATTCGCAGAACTAGAAAAGATGTTAGGTGATTATGATAGATGTCGTGCAATATTTGAATTGGCTGTAGAGCAACCAGTTTTAGATATGCCAGAGTTGTTATGGAAGGCGTATATTGATTTTGAATTTACAGAAGAAGAATTTGAAAAGACTCGTCTTTTATATCAACGTTTATTGGAAAAGACTGGTCACGTTAAGGTTTGGATTAGTTTTGCACAATTTGAATTGAACGCGGACGAAGGAGACGGGAAAGGTGCATTAGAAAGAGCACGAAAAGTATTTGAAACAGCTTACAAGAGTATGAAAGAAAAAGAATTGAAAGAAGAGGTAGTTTTGAAATTTTTGTGAATAATGGATTTTAGATATAAATCAATCCATTAATATATAATTTTTTTTTTTTTATATATAGCGCGTTCTGCTACTTGAATCATGGAAGGAATTTGAAACCAATCATGGCACTCAAGAAACACTATCAGCTATAGAAGCTAAGATGCCTAAAGTCGTCAAGAAACGACGTAAGCTTGATGAAACTGAAGGACAGACAGGTGTTGCTTGGGAAGAATATTTCGATTACATCTTTCCTGATGATCAAACTCAACAACCGAATTATAAACTTTTGGCAACGGCACATGCTTGGCAACAAAAGGTTTGTATAACTTATCAAATTTTATTGGCTATTATGAAAATTGAGGTGATTAAAATTGAATTTTTTTTTTCATTTTATTATAGCAACAACAGCAGAAAAAGTAAATATGTTCATAATTGGTTCATAGAAAAAAAAATAAAAATAAAAATATATAATAATAATTTCTTAACATATCCCTGATAATAAATAAATAAATAAATTTTTCTTACTGTGTTGTACTTCTATTACGATTAAAAGGCCATCCCTTCATGGTCTTTCTTCTTTCTCCAAATACTATTGATCCTTTACGTTCTTTAAGTGTTGGTCGTTTTTCAATAACTGGTATTTCTGTAATTGTATCGCCATTAGGACTAATGGGGGGATAGTTCCCGTTACTACCTTCCGAAGATTCGGACATCCGTTTATTATAATTAATTGAATGATTTGACATTGACATATTGCCTTGCGTATTTATAGAATTGCGTGAATTATTATTGAAAGTTGCTGCTGCTGCTACACGCGTTATAACTGATGAGTTTGTAGGTGGCATGGGTGTTGTCTGTTCAGCATTCATAGTATTCATAGGTGAATTCGATATAAAGAAAGGTTTATTGGTATCTTTTATTGGAGGCGGGAAAACCAGAGATGATGCGGAAGATCGTGATAATGTCATTACCTTTGACTCAGCCAAGTTTCGGCGTTCTGCTAACCGATTTATTTCTTCTGTAAAGTTTTTTAGGAAAACTTTTTTTTGGGGTGGAAAGAATAAAAATTTATTTAACAAAAACTTATTATTATATAAACCATTAAAATGTTATCATATATACATACATTTAACCAAAGTATCGTGTAAAGGTCGCATGTCTGCAGAGACGAGACGATCATGTATTTCCAAACATCTATCAATAATATCAACCTATATAGATATATATTAAAAAAATTCATTAAAATCGTTTCTTAAAAAAAAATACAACAAATATTGAAAATTATAATTAATGTTAACCTGTTCATCAATAGCTTCTTTTAGTTGATTTACAAATACTCCTTTATCCGGATTAGTTGTTAAAAAGTCATCTCCGAAGAAGGCTTTTTTGTACATTGGAACACCCCCATTTACAGGTGCATCTACCGCCCCGTTCAATGACATAGATAAGGGATTGGTATTGATTTTACCAACACCCTTGGACGATGTGAGAAAAGCATGATATTTTGCTTCCAACATTTTCAATTCGCGATTCTTAGAATTCATGGCTGCCACTGCATTTTCAATTGGAGAAACTTCAATCACAGTATTTTCAATTATTTCAGATCGGCGAAGCACGGTTGGGAAATGATCTTCTGACACCATAATGGTTTTTTCCGTCCATAAATCCAAAAATTCATTTGAAGATTTCACCCCGTCAGGATTTTTATTTACGGGTCTTGAAAAACTAAATGTATTTACTGAATTGTGTTCATAATACGCTTTGATGGATGAAGGAACACCACTTTTGAAAACAGGATGTTTACTATCAGGTTCAGGTACAACAGCGGTAACCTGTAAAAATTGCCCATCTTCATAAAGGATCTCATCTGAAGGAGTACAATTTGATTTTAATAATGCTGCTTGGGAATGTTTATTTAGCATACGCTCACAAAAAGCTCCAATTTTCTCCCATTCATAACCACGATAAATAAATTGTCGATTTTGCAAACTTGCAGGAAATCCTCGACCATAAAATCCTACACGGAAATATTCGCTGAAATATCGTTCCTTCTTAATTACATTCTCGTGTAAAACAGCCTGTTGCTTTAATATGTTACTTAGACGTTGGTAATCATAAGTCGTATATTCAAAATGACGCGCCAATTCCTTACATATCTCAATCCCACATTCCCAAGCTTTACCCTTAACAAAATAGTCCAATATTTGTATATATAATCGTTCTTTCCTATCAAACGGCGATTGTTTTGGGAAATCCATTTCAGGTAATGCTTCAACTTCAGAATTTGGATCCCAATCATATAAATCTGAATGTAATTTAAGCGTTAATGCAGCTTCTACAAAATTATGACTATGAACTTGCAACTGAACGAGTTGATGTACATATTTAATATAAATTTGTTCTCTATCGATAGATTTTATGAATTTCATCAATTTCAATGTACACATTATACGATCATCCTGGAATTCTTCTCCCTCTGGCAAATCACGAACACCTAATAATAATTCTAAGAATTCGCTGAGTGAATCTAAAAATTTTATTACTGTTTCACGTAAAGCTTTTTCAACCGAGTTATTCTCAAAAAGACTACGTAACTGAGCTATAAAATATGCTCGCGATATTTCATCTCCTTTATTCTCTGACATAAATAATTTATCTAAAGTATCGATAATATCCGATTCCATCTGTTTGAAATCCTCATCCATTGTATACTGAGTAAGAATCATACTAAATAATACTGTTATGGCGGCGGAACGTAATTCATCATGATGAGATAAACATAACTCTAAAATTGGTCCCAATAACGTATTAATGAACCGAACTTGATATCCACCCATTTTCCCATCCTTTCCATGCTCCCATCCTATAGCATCCCATAATGTGGACAATAATTTTGCGGCTCTTCCTCGAAGATCTCCAGCCAAGCGCCATATTGCACGACGTTTTTGTGGTGTAAAATTTTCAATTATTAGGTGTTTACTTGTTAACAAGGCTAATAAGCAAGTGAAATACTCCCGCCACAATTGTTCGTTAAATGTATCTGGTGCATCTTTGTCAGGAATGTAATTCTTCTCCATTAAAGTTGAAATAGGCTCAAGAAATTTTAAAAATACTTTATGAGCCATTATATTCATGTTCAACCATGACTCCGGAAAAGCTTCATTTAAAAGTATGGATCGAGAAACCAGGAATAATAAAGTTAAAAAATCTGCTGTTGCATCATGCCCTTCCCTATAGTAAGTAGATAGCAAATGCTCCTTCATATGTTCCTGGGATAGTAAAAACATGATCTGTAGTATTACAGCAGCTATTTCTCCTAATCCTGACGAGAATGAACTCTGTAATGGAGAGAGTAAAAATTCCTTTGAATGTCGGTATGAGCTCACGGTTGGTGTCGGAGTTGTTATACCGGACAATGGGTATGACCAGGAAAACATCGCCGAAGATAATACAGCGCCACTAGACGCAGTTCTGTCTCGTTGAGGATGTATCTCATCAGCCGTAATATGCAGCTCTCGGTATGACTCGCAAAGTTTTACGACGAGTGGTAGGATGACCTTTACATTTTCTATTTCACACTCCTTAGCTGCTTTTTCGGTTGACCTTTCGATTGAACATTGTAAACTTTCCAACATAACGGCAATAATGGTCACACATAACCGTATACCATCTTGCCATTGCATTCTTGCAGAATCACTGTCACCATTTTGTTTACCGGTTCTTTCCCACTTGCCCATATGATCTGCAACCCACTCAACGACTCTTCGTAAAAGGATTGCGCGAGATTCTGCATTTTCAAATAAAGGTCCACGACAAAATTGAAGAATTACCAATAATTTGTATGCTAACAACTTGCCTTTTGGCAACCTTACTGATTCCGTAAACCGGATTGCTATCTGTACAAGATCATCGGGTGTAAAACATTTCCCAAGATCTGCAAAAATGGAAGCGAAATGTTGTAATGCTAAAGTTTGCGTGCCAATTATGGATTGAGGTGTTGTTATAGACATTAACCTGTCAACGCTCCTAAACAAGCTAAAAAGTTCTTTTTTGAATTGCTCTTCAACATAATTACCAGACAATCCCATATTGGATTCTTTTGTTCGTTGAAGTTCACGAGATCGCATTATTATCTTAAATATGTATTGCCAGACCTTTATAGCTGAACGTAAACTTTGAGCAGTTTCTGGACTAGTTGGATTAGATACAAGTCGATTCATAGAACGAATCAAATGAGAAGACGCTGCCGCACATGAAAAATGCTTTTCAATATATACATCAAGCACTGGCCTAAAGTTCATAAATCGTCTATCAGATACGATTCCAAGGATTGTAACAAGGGCATTGAATATTAAATCATCTAGCTCTCCATGTTGATTTCTTGTTGAGACAAGTATACCAAAAAGTGCATCAAAAATATCCTGGAGAAATTTAACTATCTCTACCTCACCTACAAAAGTGAATTTCTTCAAAACTGACATCATCTCGTTTATATCTGACATAAGTTGCTTTTCCCAATTTAATAATTTAAGGAGAACTTCATTTTGTGTGTATTTTGTCGAACATAAAAATGTCCCAATTACTACTGTATCTTTAGACGAAGGAAACATTTTATGTGAAGAATGTGAATTTATAGATGAATGTGTTGAAACTGTATCAGAAAATGTCGCCGTAGGAGACCATGATGCTTTAAGATATACCGAAGGATTGATCCATTGCTTATCATATTTATACAAAATAAGTGAATGTTTTCCATCACTTATAAATGCTCTGTTTTCGGGAAATAAAGGCATATATGCGAATGCGAAAATTTTATCCTCCTTTTTATCTTTTGTAGAACGATGTCGGAAAGTAAAAAATACATGTGCTTGTTCAAATAATTCCACTGGTATATTTAATTTAATCAATTCACCCCATAAAGGGTTATTGGAATGATAAAAAACTAAGGAATCGAATTGTGAAACTTTAGGTTCACCAGCTCCTTGTGAGATCACATTTTCCAAGACTTCACCTGTGTTTAATTTTACTTCGGCTGTCATTTGAATATTTTTGGCTGTTGTAGAACGACCTTGCGTGAAATCTCCTGACAAAAGTTTGAGATAAATTTCATTTCTCGTGTCACCGGGAAATACAACATCAGCAAATCCAAGACGTGATGTAATCGGAATATCTTGAAGTAACGCAGGATTTTCTTTGATTATAATTGCAGTCTCACCATAATATGGTCTAAGCGAGACACTGACCATTTCAGCACGTGGTGACTTTTCAAGCTCCTTAGCACGGCTATTTATAATGTCTTCGTGTAAGGTGGCAAATGTTGACTCTTGAACAGGTACATATATGGGCATCACATGTTCACTGAGAGTTTCCTTTTCTTTCCCTTGAAGAAGGTGACTTATTTCAAGAACAGCACATCCAAAAGGTCTACGGAAAGTTTGTGGTATCGATCTTCCATTGGATATCGATAATTGATCAGCTTGGTCCATATCCTTTGTTGGTTTAGAAAATAATGACGTCATCGAACCACCTTCCTTTGTATTTTCTTTATCTTTATCAGATAACTTCATACTTCCAGTACGTACAATTCTGCACACGAGGTAAATTTGTTCCTGTATGTCATGAGGCGAAAGATCCGTAAAAATGGTTCGAATTTTCCCAATTTTGCTTTCGTCTTTTGGAACACCATTATGATTTAATATAATGAAATATTCTTCTGTAATAAATTTTGAGTCATTTTTGGTGTATAAAGAAAAATAAAGTTCGGTATATTCGCCAGGAGCTGAAATAGAAGCAACCCAAGCTTTTAAATCTAAAAATACATGATAAAATTTCGGCGCATGACTAACGTTTTCAGTAGTCGTTGAACCTTGTGAATGAAAATAATTACTACCGGAAGGTGTCAACAAGGAAGGGCTTGTAGGACTCATAAGAAGTGGTTCAGATTTTGATTTATCCACATTTAAAAGCGACAATTGAGAATGTAATTGATAAAGTCTAATAGCAGATATATTAGTCTCATCCGCCAAAAATCCCCTTTCTGGATTTCGGACAATTATATCCAAATCCTGAATTAAATTTCCGGAAACTAATTTATTAATGAGTTCTTTTCGTAATTTACTCAATTCATCTTGAGATAAAGTCTGCGCTAGTAATTGACGACGTCCTTGTAATAGATTATTTATTTGATCTTTAACTGTTCTGAACATTTTGTACTTTCGCTCTTCAAGATATTTTGGTAAAAGGCTACTCCATTCTCTCACCGTGCTAGCAATCTCATCTACCAATGGTTCGGTTTTACCACTAATTGTATCATCACCGCATTTAAGAGATGGTAAAGGAGGTGGAGGACGATTAATTCGTTCACCTTCTGGACTGGAATCGCTACTATTCGTATTATCTACTTCGAATTCTAAATCTTCTAAATATTCTTTTATATAGACATGATTCATCGGAAAAATCCCAACATAAACTTGAGGTTCCTCCGTTTGACGTAATTGAGAGACGACATAACCACGATACCAAGCTCCTTGTTCCTCAAAAACGTATACTTCATCACCAACTTCGAGACTAACTTGGTATGATACAATATATGAATTGGAATTTTCAGAGGATATCGATGATGTGTCAGAAGAACCGTTTGTATAAGACAAACCATTAGAATCGGTAGCTTCAGGAAAGGGTGTTTCTTCTTGTTTTTCTGGAGGATCACTCGGAGAATTATCTTGAATATCTTCTTGAGGTTCTTTTGTTGAATCAGACGAATTTGTTTGTGCCCCTGGTGTGAAAGGATATATGGCAAAACCATAACCAAATCTGGGCAAGGGTGTCCAAACAGGTGTTGATGTCATTTTTAATTCCATGCGATTACAATTAAGTAAATTCAAAAAAAAAAAAAATTGATCTATGCACTATCTTGATGAGAAACGTTTCTGGCTTGTGGTTTCGTTATGCGAAAAGCAATACGAGGTTTTAGGGTTCGAATGTCGAAAGGAATGATAGGAGTAAGCAAGTTGTAATATAAAGGAAGGTCTTCCAACTGTCCGCGAGATTTTTTTTTTTGTAAAAAAAAAAAAAAAACAAAAAAAAGAAAAAAAAGAAAGAAAAAAAAAAACATTAAAATACAATCGCAAAAAAACTCCAAAAGTGGATCGTGTACTCCACCTGCAAGGTGACTTGCACCGTTATGATTCTCCTAATTGAAAAGGAGATGATGGAAATGTAAAGCGTTTAATTAAAAGAAAAAACATACAACATAAGGTTAACCGTAGTCTATGCAATTTATGAATATACACGCTACCACCACGTTTTTTTTGATATGTATCATTTTGGTAATACACACCGATTTATTTTTCCAGAAACGAATATAAATTGATTGTCATTTTCCTGTATATCTCTTTATTTATTACATTTTTTAAATGAAAATTTACTATCATCATACCAAAATTTTATTATAATATCATATTAATGTTCTAAGGAAACCGAAGAAACGGTTTTTTTTCTTTAAAGTAATTTGCAGTAAGATAACTAATAGAAAATTATAATCATAAAAAATGCCTAGTTCTATCACTTCAACCAATCCCTCAGAATTGTCGGCAGAATTACTTCAAGATGAAAATTTTTCAGACTTGAATATTAGCGAAATACTTGAAGACATGGATAAGGCAGAGGGAGCATTAAATGAGCTTGATGAGAGGCTTGATAATCTAAATGCAAAAATAGATGCACTTCTCGAAGAACAAGCTCCTAATGAAATTAAGTCAGCTGAAGAGGAGAAAACTGAAGTGAAACAGTCTGAAGAGAAATCAGATAAAGAGAAAAATTAGATCGACTTAGATTATCTATACCAGTTTTTTAAATATCGAATAAAAATTTAAAAATGATTAACAGAAGGATTATTACTCTCGTGGTTACACAAATGATGAGTATAACAAAATTTATTTTAGTTTTTATCAATAATAAATTCAAGGAATTGTATTTTTATAATTTAAAAATTTTTTTCAAAAAAATATTATTATTATTGAACTTAATTATCTTATATACTAGTTTTTAAGTACCTAATAAAGGTTTATCATATATCTTAATAAAAATTTTTAAAATGATTAGTATGGATTGTGGTTACACGAAATGATGAATCTTTTCGTGATGAAATAATGAAACACATCCTGTCACTTTTATTTTAAAAAATTATGTTGTTATTCCTTCCCACGACGCGCATATTCTTCTTTAATCGAAAGTTTGTTCCATAATATACAATAGTCCTATAAATTTAATATTAAAAAAAGAGGAGGAAAATTTACTAATAATGTAGATTGTGATAATTATATATAATAAATTTATGATTAATATCTTGTTATACTTCTCAACTTACAATATACGGTCGGTTATTACAATTTCGGCTCTTTTTAAAATTCAATTCGAGATATTTTAATCTTCAGTAATTTTCCTCGGGCGTACATCATTTCGAATTGGAATTTTTAACCCTTGTTTTGCAAAAGCTTTGGAGAGTTCCGTTGATTCTAGAATGTATTTAATATGATCAGCATCGTAGATCGTAAGTAAAATTTATAACGAATTTTCCTAACCTGTCATCCCAGGAAATTTTTTTGCTGAATATACAGTAAAAGGATCAGAATACGTAGTGGCGATTATTTCTGTTCTTGTATTGATTAACCGGTCTTCACTATAAAATCAATGCATATACAAAATTATGAATTTCTGTGGAAAAAAAGAGAAGTTTCTTAGAAAGATCATGAAGATACGCACGTTCCCAACTTCATCAAAGAAAATTTTAGAGTGTATTTCCCTTCTGTACGTATAGAGAGATCCGGAAAACAAAAGTAACATCCTTGTTCTCCCGTGGTATTCTTAAGAATAGCTGGCGATGAAACAAGTGATCCCATAAGTACTCGCGTTGTTTTTGGTGGGTTGCTAATCACATTTCGTTCTTCTCGGCCATCTTCAGACCAAAGTGTGACATGAAGAACGAAAAAAGGATTTTGCAACATTCTAATGTAATATTATATAAAATAAAAAAAATTATTAGTACATTAAAGGAGTATAAAAAGATACATGATGTTGGTAAATACACACAACCTTAAGTTCGTGCTACATATTGAAAATTATAAAAAGTTATTGCTTAAAGAACTTGTAGAGAAATTCAAAATGTTATCTCAAACTCACCCAGTGTCAGGAATCCCCTTCTCATCAGTTACTACTAATTGTACGATCGGCGGTGGGTCGATCGGTCGTCGATCTTTTTCACCAAATCCACACATTCGAGCGCGCAAAGGTTGCTGACTAACTATGAGAGTATATGTCCTGCATAGGATGTTCCGATAAAATTGTAATGTTAATAAAAGATATAAAGATATTAATCAAGAATCATACTATGAATATTTTCAGATGATCAGACTTCTCATAAAAAAAAAAAAAAAAAAAAAAAAAAAAACTTGGGTTTATAAGACCCAAAGTATATAGATCAAAATAAGTCATTCACATTTATAGTCTTTGCTTGCTATCTTGCACACCTTTTATCTTCTTCCTCTCCTGCTGTCGGTGGATCGAAGGCACCAAACCGTTCTTTTTTGAATCGTGCTTTATGTAAGATTGGTACAGTTGATTTTGTTATGAAAGTCGAAATCTTATTTTTATCAATACCCTCGGAAGTTGGTGCGTTCGCGTTAGATTTTGAACGTTTATCCCCAAAGTCTATAGGTGGCGCGGGAGGGGGAACTGGAGGTGCTATGTTTGGGTTCATAGATGCGGGGTGATATGACATATAATGGTGGGAGTGATGATAATCGTAATATGGGTGGTGCATGTGACCAGGTGGAGGTGGAGGTGGAGCCATATGAGGAAGCATTGGAGGAGGATGGGGATAATAACCTTCAGGAGGAGGAGGCGGATACTCTCCACGTCCAGCACCGTGGTATTCAGAATGAAGGGGTGCGCCAGGCTGATACATTGGTCAAAAAAAATATGTATGAAAAGGAATTGTGATAATGTATACAAGAAAAGAATAATGGCTCAAAGGAATAAATTGTTATAAAAAGCTACAATTTTAAAAACGAAAAAATTTAATGTTTTACTAATTTATATGGAAGTGAGTACTAAAAATATACAATAAGCTAAATAAAGAAAAGAAAAAAAATAAAATAAACAAATAAAAAGCACATCGTATTAGATTTTAATGACAATTAAATATTCGGAAAAATATACTTTCCCTCTCCCGCTCAATAATTGAGTCGATGCTGATTGGCGTTTGCAATTTGCACAAAAGTCTAGATAAAGCATAGTCTATTTAGTCTGCATAAGGTCTATTCTAGGTGAGACAAAAATGCCCCGATTCGAAATTTGAGTCGTTTCGTGATTGGTTCCTTAACAATGGTTTCCTAGCCGGAGTGAAGTCGATTACACAAAATCTCGATAAAGCAAATACCAGTGTTAATTTTTTTTTAGTTAAGATTGCTCCGGACTTAACAAGTTATAATAAACTAGATTAGGAATTCGTAGTCCGAATCTTTGTGATTACAAAAATTTTTGCCTAGTTTTATAGTGTGGTTTTAGCTCCAAACCTCTATCGGAATTGATATTATCTTTCTGTATATTCTTGATTAGTATATTTAATTGGATATAAATACTATTTCTTTTATATTTATTATTCGTTTTAGGACAAGCCTTAGGTCCAATCAATTTTTTTTTTAATTTGAGAATTTGAAAATTTTGATTGGTCAATTAAAACAAGTTTCAATAATATAGGCGTTTCCTAGTATTTAAATCAAATTTGATTATAAAAAGATATAATAGTAAATAATAGTAACATTTTTTCCATCTTATTAAAAAATCAAATTTTTTATATAGTAATCTTTTATATAATGATTTACTATTAAAGTATTATTATAATAAATAATTATTTTTTATAAAAAAAATAAAAAATCAATACTATTATTAGTCACCAATATTTCTTTAAACTAATTGGTTTAAAGAATCACTGGAAACTTAGATTAGGTTATGAAAATAATGACATAATCTAGTGGTAGGTCATAATCAAATATAATAATATAATTTATAGGTAAAACTATATTAAGTGATAATGTTATAATTTAGTAATAGTATTATAATCTAATTTCATAACCTAATATTAATTATATAACCTAATTTCATAATCTTATAATTGATTCATATCTATTATTGATTTTATAATGTAATTTTGAAGGGTTTCTTTTTAACTTTCTAGTTATTATTTTAGTTATTACCTACTATATTATAATATATAATAATATAATCTAATGGTAATTTCATAATCTAATAGTAACTGATAATATTATAATCTAACAATACTTTCATAATCTAGTTATAATTATTTTCTGCTTCTTTTATTATCAAGAGCTACCTATGTATTGATCTAATTCAGCTTTTGTTTTATTTTAAGGAATTATCCATTCACTTACCTATATTTACACCTTTTTTATTACTAAAAAAAACTATATATATGTTAGTCACTTTTACTTTTTTTTATAATCAAAAAATATATTACTTTATTAATGCTCAAGTATTGCAATGATTCTTTGATCAACGTTAGCTAATACTATAATATAACTATGACTAATCTTTATAGTACATATTTAAAAGATCTATTTAGAAACATAATAATATCAGGAGAGTATGTAAAACTATCTATAAGCTAAAAAGATTCTATTAATTTGTCAGTTCTAAATTATTTATAAATATTAAATTATTTCATTTTAAGCTTAGTCAGAAATTATAAAATAGTACTGGTTAAAATTAAATTGTATCTTATTATATCAGTTTTATATTAGTTCTGAGAACCTTACTAGTAATTTCAAAGCTTAATTAATAATTAATTAGAAAAAATATTAGAGATATAATATGTTTTACTATTTTTAGCTCATTTAATTATCAATAATATGTTATTTACAATTTAATTATTTTTTGATATAAATATATCAATTTAATTATAACATACGGTAAGTTATAATTAAATAATATATATAATATATTTTATTTTAGAAATTCATCCTAATAAAGTAATCATTAGAATAAAAACTAGAATAAGAATTAATATAAATTTTTGCTATTAACAATTATTACTAATATTATTATAAAGTTTCTTGTCATTATGAAAAATGTTTGATAATAACGTTTTTGGTGATACCTTATATACTTTTTTTAAAGTTATATAATAATACCTATTTGAAAATTATTTAATAGTTTTAAAAAATATGAAATAATTATAAATTTTATTACTAAGTTTATTATTAAAAAGTATTATTAAAATTTTTTTAACAGTTTGTCACTGGTTATTACTAGTGTCATTAGTTCTATATAATAATTAATGATAAAATTAATAATATATTCATTATGCTTTTTAAGATTATTAGATTATTTTATTTAGTATTACTAGTATTATTAGTAAAAAAATTCAAATTTTTTCTTGTTATTTCTATAATATTATATTATAATAAATATATAATATATATGTGAAATATGTATAATATATGTATATTATAGAAAAATAAAAAAAAATTAAAAACTCAGATTTTTCTAATAATACTAATGATATTAGTAATACTTATCAAGAAAAGTTTTTGTATTATAAGTTTTTATTATCAGTTTTTTAGTAATATTAATAATAAGTTATATTATTTTATATTGCTTTTATTTATATTTAATATTCCTATAAGTACAAGTATTAAAGCTAATTTAACTAGCTTTTTCTGATTTTACTACAGAGGGTGGATAAAAGTATTTAAACACCATTTTCTATATCAAATTGCTTAATAATTACTGATTCAAATTAAAT